CGACTATACTCCCAAAATAGAATATTTTAAAAGTCCAACCGCGCGGCTATACCCTTTAAGTAGCATAATATGAATCTCCCAAAAATTGAATTACTACAAAGACCTTTATAGTAATATATTTAAATATTCACTAAAGAAATAATAATTAATACATAATTACTAATTAAAAAAGGCTAAGATATTACTTAACCACATGTATTAAATTAAAGAAGTTGGCCAACAAACAAAAGTAAAGAAACTAAACAAAAACAAAAACACCCCTCCCGACGAAATGTCGTCGGCAAATATCTATCCCAGCGAAATTTACCATATTACCTCTCCTAACGAAATGTCGTCAGCAGAGGTAACTTTAGTCGGGAGAGGTCTAATCTGACAAATATTTGCCGGTGTTGACCTATGCCAACGAAATTTCGTCGGGAGATGTGTTTTCTCAATTTTTTATTTACAGGGTATAGCCGGGCGACTATACTTTGAAATATTCTTTTTTGGGGTACTGTCGTTCGGCTGTACGGTTAAAATATTATATTTAAGGTGTATCGCCGCGCGGCTATACTATTTAAAGGTATAGAATAGTAAATAGAATATTTAAAGGTATAGCCGTGCGGCCATAGGCATTGAATATAGAATATTTAAAGAGTATAGCCGCACGGCTATACGTTAAAAAAAAATTCCCCAGATTTTCCTTTGTTAATAAGAGTAGTTTAGAGCATTATCCATTACTATTATTAGGCCATTACCAAATATTTACACAGAGAATGCATCTAACATAGTCCCTGAATATGGGCTATGTTTCTTCAACCACCATAACTCCAACCAACACACAGAATACAGATTGCTTTAAAAAATAAACACAAAGAAAATTTGAAAGCATAAGCAAAAGCATGCCATGTCCTAAAATCCTATGTGCTGTATCAAATACAAAATGCTTCTCTACCTGTCTTTAACAGATGAATGCATACCTTCTTCAAGAACCATGCCACTGAAATAAACTCATGAACACAGACAATCTCATTGTTTCAATCAGGTAGGTCCTCAAATGAAGGAGCTAAAAGAAAGCTAATCCGCAATGTTTGACAGCAGTAGTGGGAAATCACTTCAAAAGCCTCAAGACATGGATTCATACCATTAGCATCTTACCGGCTCTTAATTCATTGATATAGAGAACTGGAAAATAATCACTTAAAAATTGATACGTAAGTACTTACAAATGCAGTTGCCTTCCCCTTGCTGTTTCGATAGCCTCTGGATCTGCAAAATGTAATCAAACCAGTGTTCCAAAGAAAGCTTAATCATTTTCACAAGGAAACTCACACTAAATAGTAAACAAGACTGCAAAATATATGCATGGAAAGAATCATCTAAACCTGTTTGAAGAGGACCTGAGAAGCTGCCACCGATACCAACAGCTATATTATCTTGCATCTCTCTGGGAGTTTTTGATTTACTCTTTTTGCCCATCTTATGGTACTGAGAATTGCCAAAATGTACTTGCAGAGATGCTAGACCCTCCAGGAATAAAGAAATCTGAAAAAAAAAACTCCATTCAAGTTTTTGAAAAATCGGCCGCCTAGGCGGGCTAGGCGGTTCTTTTTTAAAAATAAATAAATAAATAGTATAGCCGCGCGGCTATACTATATTTAAGTTTTATAATTGCAATAGACCCGCCAGGAAAAAAGAAATCTTTAAAAAAAATGCAATTCAAGTTTTCGAAAAATCTGCCGCCTAGGCGGGCTAGGCGGTTTCATTTTATAAAAAAAATATATATATAATTATTTTTATTTTTATTTTTATAAATAAAATAAATAGTATAGCCGATCGGCTATACTAGTTTCATAATTGCAATTCTGTCTGAAAGTACTCTATCTTTCAGAAAAAGAAAAATAAATAATTCAATATGAGGTCTCTCAATTCTGAGACTGATTTATAGTTTTTCTCTGCCTATGCATTGGGAGCATATCAACATGAGAATATCTAATATTTAAGTTTCAAATTTCGCCATTAAAATGTTTTGGTAGGTTCTCATTATATCAAGGCTGTTCTACACAAATGGAGGTGATGCCATTTGGTGTTAGCATCAAATGGCATTCATTTTCTCTGGAAATGGCCACAGGACCTTAATTCTAGTGGAGTGGTAAAGAATGACATGCTTTATAATTCTTTCCTATTAGATTTCTCCTCTCTTTCCTTTCGAATTGAAACCGAAGCAACAGTCATTTGATTCTAAATCTTGAAATTTTCTTTTCCCAGCCAAAACTTCCCAAATCTTGTTTGTCAATATGCTTAGGTTCTGTTTGCAAATTTCTCATGCTCTAACTCATTGTACTCATAAAAATCTGTTGCGTAAAAACGCATACGATGAAGAAAGTCAGGCCACCGCCACCTGCAGCAACATGTCTTGCTTTTCACTCCCGAGATGATGGTGTAGTTGCTATTGGCATGGACAATTCCACCATTGTAATATACAATCTCCACTCAGACAAGGAAATTTGTTTGTTCTTGTAAAAAAACAAATCATGCTCGATGTTGTGATGAAGCAAACCCGAAAAGTTTGTCATTGCCTTGATTTAAATATTTTGCAGGTTACAAGGAAGCTTGAGGGTCACTCCAAAAGAGTCACTAGCCTTGCCTTCTCGAACACTCTGAATGTACTAGTTTCTTCTGGTGCTGATGCATATTGGAAACTACAATATTACTTTCAGACATGGCTTCTACTCTAATGTGACTTCTGTTATTTAACGACGTCGTTTTGGCCCTGCAGATTTTTGTGTGGGAAAAACAGAGAAGCAAATTGTTGCAGATTCCAGATGGGAAGGAGTTGAGATCATTGTCAGATACTTACATCCAAATTCACCAGAATGAGCTGCACCTCCTTGCCATAAACAAGAATCACCTTGCAGTATATGAAGTGAAAGCTCTAGCATGTGTTTAGGAGGAGGGGAGGCTACCCCATCCCAAGGTCAGGCATACCAAGGCCTCTTTGAGGAACCATTTGGCTTTTTAATTCTTCACTTCGGGATTAAAAACAAAAGGCACCCAAAAAGGGATCAGGCCACTCAATGATTCACCATGAATTTTTTTTTTTCATACAAAGATGTAGTCATCGCCCCTTCACAAGTATATACTAACCTATACAAATTGTGTATCAATTTTTACTTTGCCTTGCATTGCAAATGCTCAAAAAGATAAGGTTCTTTTTGAAAATTCTGCAAGCTAAGTATTCTTCAACTGGTCACACTATCTCTAGGAGGTTTTCCCTTTGGAATGACCTTCCGGTAGTTACAACATCACAAATGTAAAACAGAGATGATAGGCCTGCCACCTTTTTGGCTTTGACCTGCAATCATCTCCTGAATCGCTTTTATATGTGTTGTTGCATAAGGAACCTGTTGTGTCAAACTTTTCACATGGACACTCTACCATCCTCGCCAAAACAAAACGAAGCATGGCACATCATTGTGCCGTGGTGTTTTTGTGTGCCTTGCAAATTTTCCTTTGCATAGAGAAAACGAACCATGAACGTAACCAACAGAGGGGATAAAAGATCAAGAATCCTGAAAATTCCAAGAAACGGATCTCCTTGTAGAAAGGTCCTACTGCTGAAGCTGCAAAATGCATACATCATGTGATTAACTTGCATATCAGATGTAAATATCAAATAATTTGGCATGCAAAGTAAGGCAAAAAGTAAATGAAATCAGCAAAAGACAATGTCCATGGATGCATCTAACAAAACATTAGCTTATTTGTTTTGGTTGTCAAATGGCTGCAACATTCCTAAGTTATTACATTCATTTGGCTCTTTACAGATCAGGTCAGTATTAAAATTCCATTACTGATTTTGGTTCATCATCATATCACATTAGTCCCACCTTTTAACTCAAAGTTTATTCCCAAGTCTCCATTAAGGTTGCACCAACTATCAGTTTGTATATTTGTTTATCCAAAAGGATCCCAAAATCTGCTTCAAATATTTGTTTTGTAGACAAGTTTATATAATTCCAAATGTATATACTTGCATAAAATACCTATGTAATTTGAATATGAACTGTATGCCATATGACTAATTGCACTGAAAAGCCAATCAAAGGATTTAGCAGAAATAACCAGATTCAAAATTAAATCTTGCTAAACCTCAAATAGTATTTCTTTGGTCTATAGGATTAACTTCTCGTAACCGGCATTAGTAAAGCAGGGCAATTTCTACTCTTATCAAACTCATGAGATCAGAAGTCACATAAACTGACTACCAACACCTCAGCTACAGAGGGACCTATTTTCAATTAAGAAAAACCTCTATTGCCAGAAGACAAAATTATGAATAAAGATGCTTAATATCTTATTAACGCAGCAAAGAATCATAATTTCTTATAAACTCTTAACTCTGAGCCTGCATTCTATATGAATAACTAACACTGCCAAAACCATAAAAAACAAACAACATAATGCATTAATCACCAAACATACATGCCAACTAAAAAACAGGAAAGAAAAAAAAAAGAAGTAAATCCTACTGCTTGTAACTTACATGACAAGGATGGGAAAGGTGATGGAGAAATCAACTCTTGTGCACTTCTCTTGTTTCCTGGACTCGGAGCATTGGACACTACAGGTGCAGGTGACACATGGGGGGACAATTGAGATGAGGGACTCGTATCACCAACAGGAGGGATGATCTCCATTTTTTTTTGTCCAAGAATGATTCATATCTCATATCACCAACAGAAGGGATGATCTCCATTTTAGGCATGACAATATTTAAGGTAAACCCAACACAAATAGTGTTCTTGAAATTTTCTTTTCCCAGCCAAAACTTCCCAAATCTTGTTTGTCAACATGCTTAGGTTCTGTTTGCAAATTTCTCATGATCTAACCTTCCACCCCCCCCCAAGATGACAGTATAGTTGCTATTGGCATTAACAATTCCACCATTGTAATATACAATCTCCACTCAGACGAGGTAATTTGTTTGTTCTTGTAAAAAATATATATATATAAAAATCATGCTCGATGTTGTGATGAAGCAAACCCGAAAAGTTTGTCATTGCCTTGATTTACAGATTTTGCAGGTTACAAGGAAGCTTGAGGGTCACGCCAAAAGAGTCACAAGCCATGCCTTCTTGAATACTCTGTATGTACTATTTTCTTCTGGTGCTGATGCATATTGGAAACTACAATATTACTTTCAGGCATGGCTTCTACTCTAATGTGACTTCTGTTATTTAACGATCGACATCGTTTTGGCCCTGCAGATTTTTGTGTGGGGCTGGGTGGGAAAAACAGAGAAGCAAATTGTTGCAGATTCCAGATGGGAAGGAGTTGAGATCATTGTCAGGTACTTACATCCAAATTCATCAGAATGAGCTGCAACTCCTTGTCATAAACAAGACTCACCTTGCAGTATATGAAGAAAAAGAACTAGCATGTGTTAACCATGTCTCTCATGTTGTTTGAGGATACAGATGATTTAAGTCTTGTGTGTTGTATTTCCAGTGGGTTCCAGATTTTTCTGCATCCATTTCCCATGCAACATACTCAGGTGATGGCCAGACGGTATATGGAACTATATGCATACTTGATGCTTCAGTTCTTGAACTACATTGTCAAATCAATCCCTCCGCTTACCTTGATCCGGTGAGTGTGATATTTGGTGGCATGCACATTGGAAACTACAATTACTTTCAGACATGGCTTCACCGCTCAATTTAAGAGTGAATTGTTGGGAAGCGCTAACCTTTACGTTGTTGATAAACGGTGCGAAGGAGTGAGTCGCTAAAACCCTAGCTTGATGTATTTGCAGAGATGCCAGACCCGACAGGAAAAAAGAAATCTATATAAATAAATAAAACCCGATTCAAGTTTTCTGAAAAAATCGGCCGCCTAGGCTGGCTAGGCGGGTCCTATATTTTTTTAAAAATAACTAGTGTAGCCGCGCGGCTGTACTGCTTAAATAATATATTTAAAGAATAGAGCCGCGCAGCGGTACTCTTCCGTTTTTTTCCCCTAATTTCCCTTGATCGATAAGAGTAATTTAGAGCATTATCCATTACTATTATGTCATTACCCAAGTCTCTATTGTACCCATTTGATTTTTTACTTATTACCCATATAAAGAATTTAGCATTTTCTCATTTAATACTTGTATTATACATGTAAGTATGTATTTTTCAATAATACTTCTATTTTCCATACACGTTTTAAAGACTCGGTAAAATACATATATTTTAAAAATCAAACATTCAATACACATATTGTACACGTACGTATGTATTTTTCATATTTAACACACATGGTTTTTACAAAATTTTCACATATTATTGAATAAAATATAAGTTCCGAAGATCTGCCTGCTCTCTCTTTCTCATGATTAGGCGTAACAATTTCAGGCTTAATGCAGTTGCAAAGCATATGATAGCAGTCAACACTATGCACACACATAAAAGCGATTCCTAAACCCAATTCAAAGATTCGCTACCTAAAATCCAAGAACCCTCTCTATTGAAGATTCCTTTGGCTGGAGCAGCTGAGCCATTCAAATTTCTTCACTTCCCAAATCTAATATTTTCGAAACCCTAGCTAGCCAGCCGAGTATTACATTCCATTAAAAAAAAGCCTAATATTACATAATCTCTCATGGGTCCCATTAATAGCCACATTGGATGCCACTTGGCGATCAATTTTTGTCACGCGTTTGAAATTACTGGACTACCCCTGCCATATCAGCTGAGTTAACAATTTTTCGTTGAAAATTAATAGAATGGGGCAACCTTAGTAAACGGAATGGAAGTTCATGGGGGAAATTGAGCCGTATAAAAGTCAGATGGTAATATGAGACAATTTGTAAACCACTGGGTATTTGAACATAAGCCTAATAAATAAATACACCTTAGCGATAGCAGATTGATAGCATCATGATGTGTAACAATCACACCGACAAATTTCTGGTTGTAAACATGGCCGTGAGCTTTTGGTCAACATCAACACTAATTCTTTTGTCGACGTTGGCGCTTGGGCATTTGCCAACTGAAACCCTGCGTTGGTGCCAAAACATAGACCAAACAAATAGAATTTGTCACCACCACCAAAGCAAGAAAATAAAAGTATAGACCTACTAAGGGTAATTTACAGGTTATAGAACGTATGATGAAGTAAAAAATTTAAGCTTTCATGTTGAGTGTAGATAAGTTGGAGAGATGAGCATTTTGTGGGTGCAAATAAAAACTCAAAAAACTACTAAAACTATTTGGTTTTATTTTTTTTTAGAAAAAGTTTAGGGAGAGGGGAGGCTACCCATCCCAGGGTCAGGGCATACCAAGGCCTCTTTGAGGAACTATTTGGCTTTTTTATTCACTTTGTAATTAAAAACACAAGGCACCCAAAAAAGGATCAGGCCACTCAACGATTCACCATGATATATTTTTTTCATATGAAGATGTAGTCACCGCCCCTTCACAAGTATACTAACCTATACAAATTGTGTATCAATTTTTACTTTGCCTTGCATTGCAAATGCTCAAAAAGAGCCTGCATATTTTACAATTGATTTCAAGAAAGATAAGGTTCTCTTTGAAAATTCTGCAAGCTAAGTATTCTTCAACTGGTCACACTATCTCTAGGAGGTTTTCCCTTAGGAATGACCGCCCGGTAGTCGCGACATTACAAATGTAAAAGAGAGATGAGAGGCCTGCCACCTTTTTGGCTTTGACCTGCAATCATCTCCTGATTCACTTTTATATGTGTTGTTGCATAAAGAACCTGTTGTGTCAAACTTTTCACATGGGCACTCTACCATCCTCGCCAAAACAAAACTGAGCATGGCACATCATTGTGCTGTTGTGTTTTTGTATGCCTTGCAAATTCTCCTTTGCATAGAGAAACGAACCATCAACGTAACCAACAGAGGAGATAAAAGATCAAGAGTCCTGAAAATTCCAAGAAACGGATCTCCTTGTAGAAAGGTCCTACTGCTGAAGCTGCAAAATGCATACATCATGTGATTAACTTGCATATCAGATGTAAATATCAAATAATTTGGCATGCAAAGTAAGGCAAAAAGTAAATGAAATCAGCAAAAGACAATGTCCATGGATGCATCTAACAAAACATTAGCTTACTTGTTTTGGTTGTCAAATGGCTGCAGCATTCCTAAGTTATTACATTCATTTGGCTCTTTACAGATCAGGTCAGTATTAAAATTCCATTACTGATTTCGGTTCATCATCATATCACATTAGTCCCACCAGTTTTAACTCAAAGTTTATTCTCAAGTCTCCATTAAGGTTGCACCAAATTTCAGTTTGTATATTTGTTTATCCAAAAGGATTCCAAAATCTGCTTCAAATATTTGTTTTGTAGACAAGTTCATATAATTCCAAATGTATATTCTTGTATAAAATACCTATGTAATTTGAATATGAACTGTATGCCATATGACTAATTGCATTGAAAAGCCAATCAAAGGATTTAGCAGAAATAACCAGATTCAAAATTAAATCTTGCTAAACCTCAAATAGTATTTCTTTGGTCTATAGGATTAACTTCTCGTAACCGGCATTAGTAAAGCAGGGCAATTTCTACTCTTATCAAACTCATGAGATCAGAAGTCACATAAACTGACTACCAACACCTCAGCTACAGAGGGACCTATTTTCAATTAAGAAAAACCTCTATTGCCAGAAGACAAAATTATGAATAAAGATGCTTAATATCTTATTAACGCAGCAAAGAATCATAATTTCTTATAAACTCTTAACTCTGAGCCTGCATTCTATATGAATAACTAACACTGCCAAAACCATAAAAAACAAACAACATAATGCATTAAGTCACCAAACATACATGCCAACTAAAAACAGGAGGAAAAAAAATATAAATCTTACTGCTTGTAACTTACATGACAAGGATGGGGAAGGTGATGGAGAAATTAAGTCTTGTGCACTTCCCTTGTTTCCTGGACTCGGAGCATTGGACACTACAGGTGCAGGTGACACATGGGGAGACAATTGAGATGAGGGACTCGTAGAAGGCGAGTAAGGGGAACCATTAGGTGCATAAGTAGGAGGAACAGTAGGGTTAGGATGAGAAGTTGGTGAGGAGCTTGGAGGAATTCCAGAACCGCGGTATGGACATGGACGAGGATGTGGAGGTACCTTGGATGGTGCTGGTGGGAGATGATTACTGTCAGGTGAGGGTGCTGGAGAGTGAACTGGAGAAGCAGGATATGGAGAATTTGTTGGCTCTGGAGATGGAGCGGGAGAAGGAGTAGGAGGGGTTGCAGTAAGTGTACCCTTAAGGTAAGAAGATAAACTGATACTTTTAACTTTACCAAAGACTGAGTTATCAAGGCCAAGATTTTTTGCTGGAGAACCAGTGATTGTTTGAGCCAACTGCTTCAATCTCTGTGGCACAATGCCCCCAAACTCAGACATGAGAGACGCTTGAACTACAACTGGGGCATCTATAGTTGAACCCAATTTGTTTGTAATTTGCAAAAATACACTCTGCATGAAGAGAAAAATTGCACTTATTTATCACTAAAGTACAACGCAAACTTGAGAGCATCATCCAGTACCAAGATTGTTTAAGTTGATAATATGGGTCCTTAACAACTATGAAAATCCAGATGGACATTTAAATTTGGAAAATGCACACTTGTATACACATTATCCTTTTAAATCTTCAGGAAGAAAGGTCAGTACTCTATGTTGCTACCTTTTTGGTGTCTTTGTTTCCATAACTGTTAAGATTAGGCTTTATATTTCATAACTGAAAACAATTCTTGCATAGATCTCATGTATGGTGCAGAACTTAGCAGCTATAAGAAAGGTTTGGATCTGAAATGATGATTCCAGCATGTTAGAATATTAAATAAACTGTTGCCCCACGTTCTAACAGCTAAAGTTTTAGGAAATAGTGCTGAACCAAAGTTCATAAATCAGAAGCCCAAAAGTTGGTGCCTGGAAATAACTGTGCGAAAAGTTACTCAAATAGTTGTGTTATACCTCATAAGACCTTAGATGCAATCCAAACCTCAACTGCTCCTTTAACTGAACAAAGTTTTCCACTATGTCTGATGTAGAATTATTGAGAGTAAAATTAAATAGGATCTGGGGTATCTGCCAGATCGAAGCAGATTGCCCAGGAATCACAGTGATTCCCGCTGGATACTTCAGAATCTCAAACATAGATGGCTGCCCGAAAATTGATGTTGTCACCGTAAGATTGGTTTGCTTAAGGAACAGCTCAACAAAAGATGACCTCAGTACACTTAAGGACACTGGAATCATTGGAGCATTTATTGGATCGGAAAGAACCCCAAAAACCACATCAGTCCAGTTATATGCATCATTTTGGTGCATGGACAAAATAGCCACCTGTTGAGAATAAGCATACTTCAGTTTGACGATTCACTTTGCATGAAAGCAATATGATATGGTATATAATGCAAAATCTTGAAATTGTACCTTTGTACCTGGGACACCTATTTCCCCATTGATATCATATTCTAATCTTCTGATGTGTGGAACAACGTCCATAACTGGCTTTTCCAGTCTGAAGTATGCCTGAACTGTGGCTGGAAAAAGATAAAGAAACACATAAGCATTCACCTTTTTACTTCTGTAAGCATGAGACGAAATCAGAAACCCTAAATCTTAATAATAAAAAGATTGAAAGGTTAAAGCAATAAAGAACATGCATGTTAGCTCCAA